GAGCTGAGAATGAAGCTGCAGAGGCAGATCAATCATTAATAAGTCACATGATGAGTAGCTGTGATACTATTTCATGAACAATAACATCTGTTTGCGACACCTGATTTTTAATCAGCCAAAAGGAAGCGAGAAAGAACATACACAACTGTATTTCTTCCTCATCCACCAACATTGTGGCGCACAGTAGAGCAGCAGCTACTCACGCTCCCGGAGAACGCGTCTATTCTAATGTTTTTATTAATTGTAATACTGGTTCTGACTTTGCCCGCTGTAAGCGTGTGTCATATATAATCGTACAGAACTTTTGAGCTTAAGGCACAGTACGACTACAACAACAACTATAGACCACAGACTCAGAACTACGCTAGGCAGACTGCAGCTGCTACGGTCTTGGAGGAGCAGAGTGCAGCGGACAACGGGCAAGAGGAAGCGCTGTGAGCGGAGGCAGAAGAGGGGAAAGCGCGGTGGTGTGCTGGAGAGGCTAAAGGCTAATGCTAGGAGGCCGCTGATTCCGTCCCTATTCCTGGCCAATGTCCTCTCTTTAGACAACAAGCTGGACCTTCTGTGAATGAAAATGAGTGTTTCGGAGGAGATGAGGAACTGTTCCATACTCTGTTTCACAGAAACATGGCTAAAAGACAACATGCCGAACTCAGCCTTCCAGATCTATGGCTGGCAGCTCTTCCGGGCTGACCGCAATATGCTATCGGGGAAAGCTCGTGGAGGCGGCTTATGAGTCTACATAAATAAATCTTGGTGCACGAACTGTGTGGTGATAAACAGCCACTGTTATGACTGTAAAATGTCGCTCATTCTATTTACCTCATCAGTTTTTGATGATGTTTGTCATAGCAGCCTACATAGCACCGCATGCTAATGCCAACAACTCACCGAAGGAGCTACACAACAACATCAGCTCGCTTCAGAACAAGCACCCGGAAGCTTTTTATCATCACTGTGTGGCCCAAGGACGGAGACTCTGTACTACAGGACTGCTTTGAATGCACAGACTAGCAGATCTTCAGGGATGCTGCGGTGTATAAGGACAAGCTGGATTTGGAGGAGTATACATCTGCTGTCCTCGGCTACATTAGTAAGTGTGTGGAGGATGTTACCACCACCAAGTCTGTAATGTGCTATCCAAACCTGAAACCCTGGCTGAATGCGGGAGTCTGTGCCTTGCTGAAAGCCATGGATGCCGCCTTCGGTCTGGTGATGCACAGAGACTCAGGAGGGTTAGGAGAGAACTGACTGCAGGTGTAAAGAGACCCAAAGCCACATATGCACGGAAGATTCAGGGTCATCTTTCTTCCCAGGACCCATGCAGTATGTGGAGGGGTATCAAGTGCATCACTGACTACAAAGCAAGGGATGCACAATGCCCCAGGGACCCTTCTCTGCCTGAGGCTTTCAAACGGTTCCACGCCCGCTTTGAGGACCCTAACAACCCCCCCGAGCATTAGACTCTCCTCACCACCAGATGAAGAAACCCTCAGTGTGGCAGCAGCTGAAATGAAGAGGACCCTCAAGAGGATTAACCCCCGCAAAGCTGCTGGCCCAGATAACATCCCCGGGCATGTTTGGAGATAACATAAGATGACCTTTATTAGTCAGGGTTAGGGGTTAGGATAGGGGAATTGATTCCTCCTACGAGGGTAGAAGGAAGGTGCGCGGGCCATCCCACGGGAGAACCCCCGATCCCTGTTTGGGTTGTCATGGAAGGGGCACTGGCGCCGCCTTCCGTAACGAACTTCTTGCCACTTGTCAGTAACGCGTGGTTTTCAATTGTTTGTTTTTAATATATAAATCTTTTTCAATTAAATGAAATTATTAAGTGCAAAATAAAATTTAAAAAGTAATGAATTGTTTCTTTTAAAAACTGAAAGTGAAACCCAAAAGGGGAAAAAGGTGAAACCTAAAAGAGAGCCCAGAGGCTTAAAAATCCCTTAAATACAAAAACCTTCTGTTTTTTAATAGAATTTGTCCTTGCTCAATGAATTGTAACAAATGTATCATATTTGCAGCTCTGGAGGCCAGAGCTGCAAATATGATACATTTGTTACAAGTATCACTACTGCTAAAGGAGGCCGAGGAATAAATAAACATCTGACACAATAAGCAGGAAATTGCAGGAGGGACAGGTGAAGAGGCCATGCTGCTAGCGAGTTTGTTATAAGCTAAGCTAAGCTAGCGAAACAGTAAAGACACAGTAAGTGAATACTTTGGCTATAAATTAGGTAGTGAGTACACTGAAAGTGTGCTTTGGATGAAGCACGTGAAGATTATGCTATGAAAAAAGAATGTATCTAAAACTTTTTAAATTGCTAAGCAGATAAGCTACTCAAAAACACCACCATGTTTGAGCAGGAGCAGGAAGTGATACTATACCGCAGAGAGAGTGAACACCACTTTTAGAGTAAAATCAATAGAATTCAACTGAGATCTTGCTGCAGATGGCCACCCCTCCATGAGCCTGGTTCTGCCGGAGGTTTCTTTCTGTTAAAAGGGTGTGTTCCTGTATGTGAATGAGTCTTTGCAGGTATTTCCACATTGCTAAGATAATAGCTTTAACATCAAATGATCTCATACCCAAAAACAAGAGGAACAAGTGTGGCTGGACTCAGAGTGATAGAGCACAAACAATTCACTGTAAAATATGTGGACAGTAAAATGGAAAAAAAAAACTTTTAGGAAGTAACTTCATAAAATATTACACATCTGACATTAGAGTATTAGAGCTGAGAATGAAGCTGCAGAGGCAGATCAATCATTAATAAGTCACATGATGAGTAGCTGTGATACTATTTCATGAACAATAACATCTGTTTGCAACACCTGATTTTTAATCAGCCAATAGGAAGCGAGAAAGAACATACACAGTATTTACTTCCTCATCCACCAAAATATAAAGATCTGTAAACCAGTGAACTCTCAGACAAACCTCAACACACTAACCCCCAGGTGAATACAAAGTAAGTAAGATGGCATGTTTTAACTTAATGAACTATGCTCTAAATTATTCTCCACCATTTTTATTATGTTATGAAAGAATGTTTCATCAGATTAAGAATGAATAAAGCTCATGTAAAAGCATAAGCTTTATTCATTGCCTCCAAAGATTTTGGTGTTTTTGGTTCAAGCATGTGTGGACCGAGTGGATGCTGCTCTGCAGGAATTTCTAATATTTGCTGAGTAATTAGCTGTGAAAGCTAATTACTCTTTTTTTGGTGCAGCGACAATTAAACCCAATTCAGTTGGCAGGACAGCAACTGTCCTCTTCTCAGAGACTGTGACTCTCTGGTCAGGTCCAAATGTATCTAGTACTGTAATGAAATGCACTCAGTTCTGTACATACTCTGTATTAGAAAATGACATTTGGGAGAGAGATTCAGATTTAAAGCTGTGGAGGTCTGAAATATCAGGAACATCAGAGCTGGGGCTGGTCATCTTACAGAGGTTTCTTCACTGAAATATCATTGCTTAGTGTACAGAAACTGTAAATGATCCGATATACTTAAGTTGAGAAAAAGGATGTAAGAAAGTATTTAAGTCACAGTGGATCTTTCAGCAGGAAAATCTGGTGGTTGACTGCATCACACTGTCCAGCAACTCTGCTCCATAAAGATTGCATTGCTGTGACTGTGAAAGCTACTCTGGGTGACCAAATACTTTGTGCCATCAAACTGAAAGAAGAAAAATAATATCAAACTCTAAAGCTTGCTCTGCTGAACATTCTTAAATCAGGATCTCTGCACAGCAGCTCTCAGTTAAAGATCCAGAATAACCTAAAGTGTTCTCTGTGCTCTTTTCAGGCTCCTGCTGATCTCACACTGACAGATTTCTGTTCTCCATTTGAACACAGAGGCCTCTGTCATGGACGCAACAGCTTACATGATTTTTGACTTGGATGCTTATCTAAGTGAGTTACAAAGGTATCAGAACATCCAGAATTTTTTTTAAACCATGTTAATTGGGTCAATTATATGCCGATAATTTTAGTAGATTTTTATGATGATTCCCTAAACTGTAGATTTTTTTTTTTGAGGGGGGTTTTGAGGGGGTTCAAATTTTAAGGTTTTGTTTTAACAGCTTCTCATATTTTTAGTGTAAACTCTAAATGTTTCTTTAGCATCATTAAAGTTTAGAGTAGACAAACTGCAGCACTGTAAAACAGCAGTTTCACATAAAATTCCCAATTTCAGTGCAAACCTTGTGTCTGTTGGCGTTCTCTTATAGGTTAAATCATCATGACTGAAACCTCACTGCTTTCATTCACAGGTTCGCAGAGGATGGCATTGAACAAGAGCCTGATAACCAAGAACTGACACAGTTTGGTGATGCTACTGCTGCTGGAACTGAGAAAAAAAAAAAAAAAAAAGTCAAACAGCCTTCTTGTAGAAAAAACAAAGTCAGGGCAGCCCTGCTCAATGTTCGGTCAATTGGGAATAAATTAGAGGATGTCAAAGAGCTCATAAAAAATAATGACCTGGATGTCTTCCTCGCAACAGAGACTTGGATAAAAAGCAATAACCCCATAGAGAAAGCTTTGTCTGAATTCGAAGTCTACCATAATCCAAGGGAGGACAGACGAGGGGGAGGGGTTGCTGTTTTAGTCTTAAAAGCTTTGATAATTGAAGATGGTGATGCTCCACTCCAATTTCAGGCACACGCATTTGAGTATGTGGCTGTGAAGCTAAAACGTAAACAATGGTCACAACCTGCTCTATTGATCAATGTGTATCGCCCACCAGGAGGAACTTTTAGAGACTTCAAGGTAGACTTTGAGAAGCTCTTGGATGAGGCTTTCACCAAATTTGAACAAGTCATTTTGACCGGAGATCTCAATGGTAAATGGAAGACGTTTCCAGATTATTTGCGTGAAAAAGGGTTGAAACAGCATGTAGAGGAGCCAACACATGACAAAGGTAACACACTGGATGTGATCATCACCAAAATAAATCTGTTTAAAATCTCAAAACCAGAAGTGAAGGATGATGGGATATCTGACCACTACACTGTCTATTTCAACATAAGAGAAGGCAATGCAGAAGAAAAGAGAACGTGACTGCAAAGGAAAGCAAAAAAGAAAAATACGGCCAACAGAACATAAGTTAAAGGCTAAAGAGAAATAAGAGAACAATGAATCGGTACAGGGTTTGGATCAGATATTATTAATTGTTTTCATCATTAATTTAAAAAAAGGGTTGTGAAGAGTCTTTTACAGATACAATTATCAAGGAGAATGATCAGCAGGGATAAGACGAATAAATGACTGTATATTTTTTATGATTGTGTTTTCTGATTTATTTTAAACCGTATTATTAATATTTTTTACATATTTTTTTGGTGATCATTTTGGTGATGTTTCAGCTTGTGGAGTGAATTTGGTACAATGTTTGAAATCGAGTACATTTTAAATCATCTAAATAATAACATGTCATTTATCCTGTACGGATTGGTTCTGCACCCTCTGAACACCTTTATGGCAAAGCAGTCTTTACATGTACAAACAAATGCTATTAAATCATTATATATCAACATATATTGCTGCTTTCTTTCAACAGTCACTTGAACTACTTTAAACTTGCTCAAAACCACCAAACATTTGGTCATTGTCAGGATTTTAACCCTTTAAATGTTAGTTTAAACTTACATTTGCGGATTATTTTGGATTATTTATTTCA